GAGGCAACTCTCTCTGTGAGGGTGCTCCTGGTGCTGAACCCACATCTCTAGTTCCATCAACGGACAGAGGACACGCACGTCTGCCTGACAGTCCCGCTGTGCCTTTCCTGGGGACCCACCCCTGAGCTCCCACCTTTTGTCGTTAGCTGCAGTAACTCCCGCGCGTTTTAGTGGGTATCACCTATGCACACAGGAGATACAGGTGTTATTATTAAACGTCCTTGGTTCTTTTTTTTTTTTTTTCTCCTTGTCAACACACTCATTTGCCTATTTGCCAGCCTAGCAGAACCACGAGCAGGAGAGGGAACTGTCCCTGCTCCCCCACAGTTAGTTTACTCTGACTGCAGGGCTGGCCTGTATCCCCAAAGAAACTTCCAGTCTCTTTACCTCTGAGTTTCTGCAGACAGGTGCAGATGGGGGGGGGAGGGGAACGTGCTACCCAGGCCACAGGCGCAGCAAGGAGACCCGGGGCTGGGAGATGAGCAAGGGCGGCCTGGCGGGAACTGAGGGCAGGGAGGAGTGGGTGGGGCGAGCATTGAGCAGCCTCAGCGCAGTCCTGTGGAGGCGGACAACAGGGGAAGACAGTAGGAGAGGACTGGGGTCAGGGAGGGCCAGAGGCACTCTGGCCAGGGAGGAAGACTTCAGAAGCCTCCAGCTGGAGCTTCCAAACACAAAGCAGGGCTGCAAGATTTTCTTCTACTTTTTACACTCCCCTCTTTGCATGTAAAGCACAATCAAAGCAAGCTTCTTGTTAGCTATCATCTTCGTAGTACATTTCGATCCTAAAGATCCATCAGTGGAATAAAGCCTGCTTCTCTTAAAAATAAAGATCAGACACAAGAACGTGTTCTTTCTTATTTGTGTGGCCTCCCTGAGGTCTATCTGTCCCCGCGCACCCCAGCCTGTGGTTCTGCAATGTTATAAAGCCTCAAACTATAAAAGAAGAGCTCTCCCTTACATACATGTTTTGGGGTGGATTTCTTCTGAACTGACTGAAGGACAGGGTGTCTCTTGTGAGTCTGTGGTCAGATGAGGCTCTGAGCAAAGCCGCTCCGCATTGAAGCCGTGGAACACCAGCTCCTCAAATGGCGAGACCTGACGGGAGGAAAATTCACACACACGGCTTAGATGCTTGTATTTTCCCTTGTCACTGTACACAGGATAAAATGTGGAATCATACTTTGGGTTCAAGGGGAGCATACTGAACACAAATCTTTATCTTTGTACCTGCGACACCTATCAATGGCAATCAAGGAATAAACACTCAAACAAGAAAAGACTAGGACCACTATGGATGAGAGATTTCCAAACATTTCCCAAAGAAATCGGGATAAAGTCTGTGGTCAGACAAGAGGGGAGAGGATGTGGCAGCCCAGAAGCCATGGGAAGTACTGTCCCCAGGCATGGGAGTCATCTTCCCACCAGAATCCCACAGAGCATCAATGCTCAGAGGGTGGGAATGAGAATGAAGAGAAAACTAAGAATTAAGTGAAAATCTGGCGGGTGGGGGAATCCCATCACCTGTCGCCTGCATTTTATACGCAGCTTGCTCTCCTTCCCAAACACTCTTCTGTGATCAAACGAACAGCCTGGGGAGTAGTAGAACCACTCAGGTGCCAGGCTAGTGGCCAAAAGAAAAAACAATTCTCCACCTAGTTACAGGCTCCCTCAGTCCTGGATCTCCGGGTCAGTGTCTCTATTCATAGCAGAGACCCATCCAGAAAACAAACCAACAGTAGACAGTAGAAGGAAACCACCGTGGCTGTGTACAAAACTCCACTCAGGCATCCCTTTAAAATTTTGAATTAACAGAGATCTCTACCGATTGAAAAAATCAACAGCATAAATGATCATGATCTACAAACAGAAGACAGACCCCGGACAAAGCATGGTAATTAGGGAAGGCGGCAACATAATTAGTATCCACAGAGAACGCTGAGAAAGCATTGTGTGCATATAGCAAGAACTCAATGTAGTGAAAAAGGAACACTCACAGGTCCAGAAAGTTCTGAGACACAAAAACCCCCAACAGTGGCAGGTGGAGAAATGTACTCAAAGTGTAGAGAGGTAGGTTTTGGCTCCAACCTTCAGGCTCTACTCAAGTGTCTTCATCTTTCAGTCTTGTTTATTTTAAACTCTATTATGTCCTGCTTTTACTCCAAGAGTTAGCACACAACAAAGGGGCCCCTGGGCTCCCAAACTTCCATGCTTTAAAGGGGTTTGGCTATTCATGTTCACTAAGACAAAAGAGACTCTTTGTGTGAAAGGAGCTTAAAACGGGCTCCTGGAAAAATGACATACTTTTTCTTTGAAAAACATAAGAAAAAATGCATCCTGACTTCCGACAACCCAATAAAATTAATGTGCATAGAGAAGAAATGCCGTCTCCAAATGAAACTCCCCAAATGGGTAAATGCCAAACAGCGTTGGCCCAAAGTAGGGCCACTGAGGCCTTACAGCTTGCCGGCAGTCTCAGGCACCTTCTGGGGGCAACCACAGGATGGGGTGAAAGGGGCCAGGCAAGAGTGGCACAAAAGGCGCAAAATCAAAGTACAATCAAGATAATGGCCACCGCGGCCAGCCTCCCACCTGTTCCTCACCCACGTGTCTTTCTAGTATGTCTACATGCTTCCTTCCCATGTCTCTTTCCATGCCCCCCCAAGTCCCTGGTGCAAGCTTAAAACGAAGCAACAAGTACACCTTTGTTGCTCCTGAATCCACCTGCCTTTACGTGGCCACTCTGCCCATCATTAAGTGGTACCTGGACTTAGTGCCTCTCTTCACACAAGGTCTACCTCCCGAGGGTCTTCCTGGCAGCCTATCCTTGTCTCTTTCCCCTGGATGCAATGAAAAAGGAACAATCACAGACCCACCATTGAGCACTGGCATGTGTGGAGACCTGCCCTGCAGGCACCTGACCTTCAGAGACATCGTGTTGACCTCACTGTGTAGAACCTTTTTCATCCAGGGTCTTCCTCGAGCCCCCAGAGGCTGTGTTTCATAGTCACGGATTTTCTGTTTTATTTAACAGGTGCAGAAACCGAGCCTCGGAGACTGCCTGCTGCCCTGTGACCCACAGCGTTAGCAGGAGAGCCAGGATGGGTCCCTTTACTGGTTCTAGCTCCATGCCCCATGACACAGCTGACACCCTCCAGTCACCAGTGCTGTGCTCACTTGAGAGCTCTCCATGGGGGTGGGGGGAGCCCTGAATGGTACTCACAGTGATCACAGATTCTCGTTTGACGTTATATCCCTCTGGAAAGGGAGGCAGCTCAGCTTCAAACTCTAAAAGGAAGAGGGGGGAAATTTCAGTTCCACATTTCCTTGCAGTTTGTGACATGCACTTCCTTTCCCCTGAATAAAACCGTGGTTGGAGGTTGACAGAAATGCGAAACAGCAGGCCATTACCGCTTAATAGTTCATGTGAACCGCCCTACATAGTGGTGAAGAGGACTGTTCTCTTGCATCAATGAGTTAAGGTTTTCTGGAAGAGTTTCAGACTCTTTCTTCAAGAGAGGAGATTTTAGATACTGCTACCGAATGAGCGTAAATACAGGAACCAAGAGGAAGAGCATGGAGCGGGTGCTGAGGGAAGGTGACCAGTGGCCCACGGAGGACAAGGGTGCAGGGAGACGACAGCAGGATGCAGACAAAGGGAAGGAGCCTTCCCTTGCAGACGCAGGATGGGTCTGAAGGTATTTCTCCTAGATTGGGGGTACACAGCTGGAAAAGCAATTCCAGAAGCCCTTGCTGCTCCAGGTTTGGCCAGCAAGCCAGAGCCTCAGCACCCTGGGAAGTGAGACATGCTCCCTCTCTACTCCAGACCGAAGGAATCTGAATGAGTGTTTTAACGAGATCCCGGGTGACTTGGACACACGGTGAAGTTGAAGTCCTGATGTAATTGCCAGCAGCTCCCTATCTGGGCTGCACGATAGAACCACTAGGGAGCTCTCTGCAATCACCCATGTCTTGGACCAAGTCCAGAAACCTTGATTCAATGGGCTTGGCGCAGGGTTTTGGGAGTGAGTATTTTTAAAGCTCTCCAGCTGATTCTAATGTGCAGGGAAGTAGAGTTTAATGTAAAGAACATGCCACGCAAGCTCTAGAGGGCAACACCAACTACTGCTGAGAGGACAGAAAATGCCCACGCTTGTGGTAGTGACATACCTAAAGCAGGGACTGGTAAAAATATTTCTGGAATGATTTTTTTTTTTAAAAAAAAGATTTTTAAAAATTGATTCATGCATACAAGAACTGGGCTGTTGGCCAGATGTGTGTATGCGGGGGTGGGGGGCGGTGAGAAGATTCTCCAGAGACAGAGTGGGGAGCAAAACAGGCAGATATACTGAAATATACCACTGAGCGGGAAGACAGGAGAAGTCGTCTGTGCCGTGTAGGTCAGCTCCCTGAGTAGGGATTGAACTTGTGCCACGGTGGCTTGATAGCGCTGAGACTTTCACCCCTAGGCTGCCAGGGAGGCCCTGGAATGAGCAATATTTTAAAGCAATCATGTAGTTCCTTTTCAGGGATGAGGGAAAATAAAGGTTTTAGACAAGATAGTATTGATGGAAAACAACTGAACAGGATGCCAGCTGTTCCATTTAACACTTCCTAGTTCCTCACCAGGAGACAGAGCTTGTCTGAACATTTTTTTTTTTTTTTAAACTCTTAGGTATCATGCTGGGACAAGAGCTTTGGGCTGCAGGTGATAAATAATTCTGATTCTCAATACCAGCTGTATGTTTTCTATAGCTGTTTAACAAATTGGTACAATGTAGTGACTTAAAACATGAATTTATTATCTCACACTTCCCATGGTTCAGAAGTCCAGGGATGGCACAGGGGCCCCTCAGGCTGGCATCTGGGGTTGGCCACTATTGTGACCTCATCTGAGGCAGGGTCCTCTTCCAAGTTTGCCTGTGTTAACAGTTTCTTCAGTTTCTTATGACTGCAGGTCTGAATACCCATTTTCTTTTTTCATTGTTAGTAAGGATGGTTCTCTCTCCAAGAGGTCCATTATGGCTTACACCCTTGTCACGGGTTGTATATATATGTGGTTATTTGCTACTTCAAGGCAAACGGGAGTTGTTTTTGCTTGAATCTCTCTGATTCCTTTTTAAGGGCTCAACTGATTAGGTCAGGCTCGCCTATGAGTCTCCCTATTAAACACCAACTGATTATAGACTTATCACATCTGGAAAATCCTTTCACAGCAATGCCTAAATTAATGTTTGATTGACTGGGTGGTGAGAGCATCAGGGAGTGGGAATCTTGGGGGCCATATGAGCATTCTCCCCATCACATAGCATTTTGTTCCCCTTTCAATGTGTTCCCCGTGTTCCCCAACATTTTGAGAAATCACCAACAATATGAAGACTGTTCATTTGCATCTAAGATGCACATATACATAGCTTGCCTGAATACAAAAGTAATGCACATTGACAGGAAGGAAGTTCCAAAGAACACAGAGATGTATCACGAGGAGTGTGTAAGCCACATGGAATTCCCTTACAATCTACAACCATCATTAGATGTGGCACAGAGCCAACCAAATATTTAAATGCGTTTATTTATATATACACACAAATATATGTACATACATACACATACACTGAGTACAAAAAACAAATTCCAGTATTTTTATTTACTTTAGATCCCCCCAGGATGGTCAAACTACCCAGGCATTAAGCCTCATAAACTGTGTCCCTTTTCTTCTTACAATTTTAGCTTTATTTGAAATTTATAAAAATTAATGACTCTCTTTTCTAACAGGCTGCATGTTTTATGAAGGACGGACCTGGGCCTGTTTCCCCACCATATTCCCAGAGTATATGCTGGATGAGTGAATGGTAGCTTTGACCCTTTTATCTTCCACCCGTTCCTACTTACTTAGAGCCCACCACATGCCAGTAACCATTCTGGGTGTTGAACGTTGAATCTCTCTTTTGTTTAGATCTCACACATCAAGATAGGTGGGTTGATTCAATTGTCATCAACATCCTCAGAAGCCTAAATTTTGTACCAATTTTTTTTAGTCATTCTCAGCTTTGTTGTCAAAGACCACACCCCATTGTCTGTAATTCATATACAAAAACTTCCACAGCAAAGGGGTCTCTCCTGGGCTCTTCCTCTTTCCCTTTCTCCCTAGCCCCTCCCTTCAACCTCAGAGCCCTAACTACATCTACTAATGTCACTTGCTTTCGTGTCTCGTTACACATGGGCTGTCTCTGTGTTGTCATTCTGACTTGCCCTACCACAGGTACGTCCCCCTTGAACTTCTATTTTGCTGTAAGTGGCTGCACTTCCTCCCTCCTCAGGCTGAGCAGTACTCCCAGTGAAGAGGCACAACTTCCTATGAGGGCATCCGTGGGCCAGCCGGCCACTTCAGCCTCCTGGCCGCTGCGGACAGCGCCGTGCTGAACGCCTTCCAGTGCTACACAGAGGATGTGCCACGACTCCTCAACCAGTGTATTTCTGCTAATGTTTGGGTTGTTGCCAATGTTTCCTTATCATGAACAGTGCTGCTATGAGCATTCTTATTCATATATGATATGGAGAGGAGGTATTTTGTAGGGATTAATTCTTAGATGTAGACTTTCTCTAGCAAAGAAAAAAATTAAACATTGGGCCAAATTTTCCTCCAAAATGTTGACAGTTTATATTCCTAATAACGAAATCATCTTTCTGAAGGGTATTATCAATCTTAGACATATTTGAGATACTTTACTTTTATTTGTATTTTCATTCTCTCTTTTTTTTTAAGGAGATCTCTTAGGAGTCTGGAGTCACGCCTGGCTGGGTTTGAAAGACAACTCCCAGAATGGGTGTGCACGTGGATGGTGAGTATGAGAACAATTTCATTGGCAGGATGAGATTGCAGCTAGTCTGCCCAGGGCCAGTGGTGTGAATACACGCAATGTGTTCTTTCTAGAAGCTTAGCTGAGTGGGCAAGAGGACTAGATGATAGGGGGTCAAGGGAGAACTGTATCCTGAAATGGCAGACCAGAGGGAAAAGCCAGAAAAGAAATTCAAGAGGCAGAAGCAGACAGAGCAGGGTCCTGGGATAGTAAGGAAGGGCTCGTACCAAAGCGCGAAGCAGGATGAGCTGTGGGTGGTGGGTGAAGACTTCTTCTATGTGTGTGGAGTTGGTACAGGGAAGTTAGGAGATTCCTTCCACACTCCTGATTCCCAGGATGTCCTCCTACTAGGGCTAAGTAGTCTCATAGAACATCTGAAGGGGGGGGAGAAGGCAAAACTTGAACTAGTGGGTGGGCGAATGGGAGAAGGTGCTCAAGGACGCTGACTGACCTGAGCTCCTGAAGCCACCTGGTGTCCTGCTCCCTGGGGGTTTTGCTCAGTGGCCAAGGTTGGGGTGCCGGGGTGGGGGTGGGTGGGCAACATTGATTCAGAAGTGGTCCATGATGCTGTCAGTGGAGTGAAGGGAAGGGACTTTAAAGCAGCTTAGAGGGTTGAGGCCAGAGAGTGTTTCTAGTGAGGAAGCAACAGCAATACTCAAGAAGCTGATCTAGCAATATCAAAAGAGCTAAACCCCAAACACTTGACTCAGTAAAACTTAAGTCACAAGCAACTCTAAGATTTAATTAGAAGACTTGGCAGCCAAGTTTACTGACACTAACACAAGTGCTTGTGAGAATACAAAGCCCTGAGTTAGTTGTTGCTGGGAAGATGAAGGAGAAAAGGAGTATTCACAAGCAAGTGATCACAAAGGTGCACATGCATGTGCTAGCCTCCGCCAGGTAGGGCAAAGGACTTAAATTAGATATTTATCTCTACTGTATCACATCTTCCTGAAATTGAGTTTCCAACGCGTCTGTTTGCTATAATAGTTTACTTTTTAAATGGAGATATCCAAACAAATGTAATACTTAACTTGCTTTACAAAGGATTACCACAAAGCCTGAATTTACTTACTGCATGTTTGTACAGAAAATTGCATTTGCTAGAACGTTTGTCTTAATAAATTGGGCTTATTCTTCCAAGTTGTAATAACCATCACAGCATTGTGTGTATAATGCACCATCTTTGACCTCATTAACTTCATCGGGGAACTCTACCACTCATTAAATAGCATTGAGCCACTTGCTTTTCAGAGTACCAAAATCTTCTCTTTTTCCTTTCTCCCTAGAGGCTGTTTAACCAAAATAAATTCCAGTACCTGAAACTATAATGCAATGTTTCTCTGTCAATAATAATGAACATTTGCTAAGCATTCTGTAATCAGGCTGGGCACTGTGCTGAATACCTTTGCATACATTATCTTTCCCTGTCCTCCGGGCAGCCCTGTGAGGTAGGGACAAGGAAGAGCATTGTGATACAGATTAAAGGTGTTCACCCCTCATCAGTGATAATGAGCAGTAGCACCCCCCAACAATATACCCTTGTAGCTCCATCCTCAGGAGCTGTCCCGTGGGAGAAGCAAAAGCTCTGGGGATAGAGAAGGATGGCTCTGAGAACTGCCTGCAAATGGGACAGTAATCAGCATAGGAGAGAGGGCAAATCTATTAGCATAGCACATAGCAATTAAGGACCAAGGGTAGCAGTTAAAAGGAGAACATTCAAGATAAAATAGATTTTCCTGCATAAAATGCAACACACTGCTGGAGAAGGGATTCAAGCACAGGACGGGAGTTGGAAACAGTGCTGCCAATACCTAGCAATCAAGTCCATCATTCTCTTAACTCATGGCTCCCTCTCTCCTTCTACCTGGCTCCCATTCAGAAGTAGACTTTCTTCCATTTCACAGATGTTTGCTGACCTACGCTATCCAGTACAGTAGCCACTAGTCCTGTGTGGCTATCTAAATTTACTGAGCTTGAGTCTAACAAAAATTCATTTCCAGCGTGCAACTAACCACATGTCCAATGCTCAGTAGCCATGTGTGGCTAGTGGCTGGCCAAGAGCGAGGGGCTCTTAACTCAAAGTGACGGTAACTTCGGAATGAAAAAGCTGAGTTCTTGACCTTGTGGGGCTTACAGACAAGTGGGGGTGGGGTGGAGGGGGTAGGGGAGCATCCAACATTATTTATTAAGCTCTGGCTATAAATCGGACACTTTGCGAAGCCCTTTCTGTGACCAGCAATATACTCCCAACACCAGGGAATAAGGGGCCCTGAAGCGCTCATTTGACACAAGGTAAAAATAAGGGGTTCTGAAAGTGTGCTAAACCCCGGTGGTTTTAAGAAGGCGCAGAAACCAAAAGGGGTTGAAAGCCAAGTAAGTCTGTCTCCACCACAACTGACTGCATCAGAATTACTTGGGGGCACTCGTGGAAGGGGCAGATTCTGGGCGCCTACAGCTGTGTGGGCGGGGCGTGGGAGCCAACGTTTTAAAGCAGCTCCCCATCAGCGCCCCGGCTAATTCTTTTCCGTCCACTCAGTGACATTTGGGCATCCGTGGTCCCCTCTGCCTCCCGCTGGCTTGGACCTGGCCAAGCACCGAGGCTGAGGCCGCGCTGCCTAGCCTCGAAGACGTGAGTCTCAGTGTCCCGAGCGTCCAATGGGGGGGCGCAGAGGGCCCGGCGCGGCGGCCAGGAGGCCCGCACGTCAGCTGCCTGGCGCACAGAGGGGCGCTGGACACGCGGCCCCCGCCCGGACCCGCCCCTCGCGGACTGCGCGGGCCGCCTACCCTCGCAGATCTGCTCCCACAGGCGGCCCGGCGACTCGGCACCTTGGCCGGGCGGGACGGGGGCACACAGGTACCCGGGAGTCTCGCTGAGCACGGACGCCTTGGTGGCCAGGGACTCTAACGAGCTGGTGGGCTCCTCGCGCGGGGCGGTGCGCCCCGCCGGCCCCGGAGCCGCCATGGCCGCGGTCTCCTCGGCAACTGCGCGCCGCGCACAGCTGCGACCCGGAAGGAGATGGAGCTCGCAGGGGTGGCCCAGTGACTCGAGGTTGACTTCCGGGTCACGGCGGAGCGGGCTTTCACGTGGAGGCGGGGAACTTTGGCCTACGGGTGAGTGCCGGGGCGCGACGCTGGCGGGGCGGCGCGGGCTCTGGGACCAGGCCTGGGGCCTGCGCGGCGAGTCGAGGCAACGCGGGCGACCTGCGCCCCCAGATCCGCGCTCCCCGCAGGTGTGCGCTCGCCGGGGCTCGAACCACCGCCTCCAGGAAGTGCTCCCGCCTGCAGCTGGCCCGGGGCCCGCGTCAACTCCCCCTCTGCTTGGGGGAAGCTTTGGGGCGGCGGAGCCCCGGGCCCGAGCGGCCCGATCTCGCTCGGGGCACCCTTGCTTCCCGCTGGCATCCCCAGTGGGGTGCGGTGTTGGTGCCGGGGAGCTGAGCACGGCCGCGAGCGCCCGCGCGCTGCGTTCGAATCCTCTTTTGTCACTTGTTGGCCTGGGGTCGGGGCACGTCTCCAGCCTTGGTTTGCAAGGCTCCGAGATCGGTTATTCACACGGGTCCTCGCGAAGCTGCTGGGAGAAGTTAAAAGCTCCTGAGGAGACAGCGTTTGTGCAAGGGTCATTTCTTTTTCCTTTAGTGCTACTTTGGGGGTCGCACAGTGGACGAGGAGGATGCCACCCTGTTCTGTACGGGGAGATAAGGAGAGAGAGAAGGGCATTCCGGGCTCTACCTCCCCGCCGGTGCTTTGTTTGGGCCGAGCCTCCCTTGGTTTGCTGCTGCTTCCTCTGCCCACCCACTTGAGTTTTAGTTTTCAGCAGGGCTTGTCTCGGCTCATTCTGTTCAAAGCTTAATTTCCATCCATGTATTCTTTAGTTTATCTTCCCAGTCACCTCTGAGCCTCAGCCTGTGTCCGCGAGTTCAGGGAACATCACCTGCTATCTCAAGGCATCTGTCCAAAGTCCCATGTCTCCTCCAGCCGCGCCCCCCCCCACCTTGAGTGCCTTTGTCTCAGGGATTCCCTATTTTTCAGTTGCCCCAAAGTGGAAATCCCTGTTCTGCAGAAACTCCTGACAGCTACGTGCCAGGCCAGGGCAGAGGAGTGCCGTTATCCTGACCGCACCTCTGTCCTGGAACTTGCCCCACTCTCAACATCTCACCTCCTTCCCTCCACGCCAACCTGCTTCAGGAGGGCAGGTGTTTTATCTTGACCATGGCTGGATCTTTAGCGATCATTCGTTCATTCATTAGTATTTGTTGAGCACCTGCTGTGGGACAGGTACAGAGCCAGGCTCTAGGGATGCAGCAGAAAACAAGACAGGAGGGAATGGATGCTGTGCTCTGACTTTCCAGGTGCTCCTTGGCTGAGTTATGAATAGCTCTGAGCTACAGGCGGGCCTGGCCTGGCCCTTGAAGCTGCTGAGTGAGCCAGGTCACTGTGATGCCCCAGGCCCTGAGGCTGAGGAGAGCTGCAGCATGGAGGCGGCTCTGCTGACTTCGCCTTCCTGCTGTCCAAGTCTTCCGTGAGCCATGACTAGATAGCCTGAGTGTCTCCCTGTCAGTCCAGACGTAGCAGGAACAGGGCTAGTGACTGAGGGAGGTAGCCCAGCTGGAAGCTGTTGTGTGCCTGGGGCACCCAGCGCTTCTTAAATTAAAAGAACATGGATAAAGCTGGACATACTAGGTTATTCTTTGTCATCTCTGATCGTTACATATGGGCAAGCTGAAATTTTTAAAATAGCAAAGCAGGCTTGCAGGCTGGAGGTGGTCTCCAGTACCTGTCTTTCCCCTAAGCAGTTCAGCCCCTCTTTTATGGGTGGGGAAATTGAGGCCCAGAGGCATCAACCTGTAAAAAAAAAAAAAAGTGTGCACATCACCATTTGAACCAGGCTCCGCTCCCAGCCTTGCTGCACTGACCACATACTACTTGGGGTGGTAAATTGGACGACGAGTCACCCAGGGAAAACTTCCAGACTCAAAGCAGAAGCACCTTTCAGACCGAGCAAGGGAAGGGGTTAACTGTGTTGGAGTTGCGGGCCCTGGTGGGCACTGGCAAGAGGGCTGACCTCAGGACATCCGTTCCTGTCACCCAGTGAAAGGAAAGCACCCCACAGCAGCACCAGCCCCATCTGACTTGACTGCAGCGTCATCCTCAGTGACAGCACCCTGTGGGGGTCAGGTCAAGAATGCCTGAGTTTAGAGGTGTGAGGAGGGGGTTCGGGAAAGGAATCACCAGTGTACTGAGCCCTATCTGCGGTTGGCGTGTTTTTTCTGACAGTCCCTTGAGGAAGGAAACCTTATTTTCCTGGTGGGATGCGGGAGGCCGAGGGAGGGTAGGTGATTGCCTTCAGGAGAAAGAGGAGTTTGAATGTGAACGTGGGGCTGTCTGGATTTAAACTCTGTTCTGTGCCTTTGATTATATTTTCCTTTGCTCCCAGGGGTCATGCCCATTTTCTCCCCTAAACTGCAGCCCGTCCGCTCCAGGCTGTTTGGCTCTTGGTGGTCCCTCCAGCTTGTACACAGACTGACCTCTTGGGGTGCAGTAATTCACCTCTTTCCTTTTCTCCAGGGATGATCACCAAGACACACAGGGGAGACCTGAGCCCTGGGCTCCCGGAGAAAAAGAAGAAGAAGAAGAAGGTGGTCCAAGAGCCAGAGACTCAATACTCACTTTTAAACAGTGGCAATTATTTCTCTGAGGTCTTCCCCATTAGGGCCACAACCCCCACTAAGAGTGTGGTCCAGGGGCAAGTGCCCGAGATGCCACTAGTGAAGAAAAAAAAGAAGAAGAAGAAGGCCTGCGAGGAGCCCCCGGAACGGGGCGCCCTGTCCCCTCCCCGACGGATCAAATCGTCCAGCCCCAGGAAGCAGGTTCTTGGCCTCTCTGAGTTCCTCGCAGGGGAGAAGAAGAAGAGGAGGAGGAAGTCCTTGTGGCCTCTGGCCATGTCCCCTGACTCGAGGATGAAGACCAACCTGGATCCCAGACAGGGTGAGGAAGTGACCAGAGTTGGCAGGAAGCTCAAAAAACACAAGAAGGAGAAAAAGGCCCGGGAATCCGTGTCCTGCTCAGCCAAGGACCCTTGGTTCTGCGAGGCTGGGGATGTTCCATGGGCCTGCGCCATGGGGGGTGGTGACAAGGGGCAGGCAGCCTCAGGGCAGAAGCGGAAGCAGGGGAGCCTCAGGGAACGCAGTGTAAAGATAAAGAAGAAAAAGAAAGTCTGCCAGGAGGGCGACACTCTCCTGGGGTACGCCAAACTCTCCAGGTCCGCGGAGAGCAGCCCGAGGAAAGGAGGTAAGAAGAAACCCGTCAGAGTGGAGGCTCCTGAGTACATCCCAGTAGGGGATGGCCCCAAGGCCTCAGCAAAGAAGAAAGTGAAGACCAAGAAGAAGACAGAGCTGCCGGGTGTTGAGGAGCTGACTCTGAAGAAGAAGAAGAAGAAGAAGAGGAAAGACAGCACCGTGGCAGGAAAGCCCCAGGAGGACGAGGTAGGCTTGCTCCGGAGTGGGCTGCGCTGGGAGGATGCGCGCCGCGGCCGTGCATGCCTTAGCTGCCTGCACCCTGACCGGGCCGACTGGTCAGAAAGGGACTCAGTGACGCGTGTCATTGCACAGTCCGTGCTCTCTGCCTGCAGGCGCAGCCGGCTCCAGGGCTCCCTTATGCCCCCCGTGACCCACGTTCTCGCTAGCTGAGCTCTGCCCAGGGTCCCGCTGTCCATGCTCGGGTCGCGTCCACTGGGCCGGGTCTCAGGTGGCCCCTTCCTGTCCGCGCTCCTGCCACTTACCGTGCAAAACATAGGAGCCAAGTAGTTTGAGACAAGGCGTCTGTTGCAGTCTGAGCATACTTTTGGGGTTCAGTACACACAGCTTGGGGATCAGGTAGAGGCGATGGCAAGAGATGCCCGTGTGGCTTTCCCAGCTGTGCACTGTGGAACGAGGCTTCCGTCAGCGCAGGCCGCCTCAGCGTCCCTGCGCTGAGCTTGGCGTGTGGTGAATGCTGTGTGAGGCGCAGCACCTCAGAACAGACACTGGCCTCACAAGACACATGGCTGGTTTTCTGTTTTGGTTTTAGCCCCTAGCAGACTCCTCCCCACACCATGGCAAGGGGTCCCAGCAGCCCCACGCTTCAGCCCAGTAGTTCAGCCTCTGCTGAGAGAAGGGTGGCGTGGCCCCTCCAAAGTGATTAAAGGAAAAGTCAGCGCTGCTTTCCTGAGCCTTTATCTGTCACTCAGGCCAGAAGCCTTGATCTGGAGTGGAGCTTATATCTGAGGGTGTCAGTCCCACCTGAACCCCGCTGCCTGTTTTTGGGGGAGGGCAGGTTTCTGCGAGGAAGACCAGAGTGCTGTTACCAGGAGCGAGGGAATGAGCGGTGGTCTGCTGAAGACAGCAGGTCCGAAGTCTGCATCCTGCAGGAGGGGAGGGGAGCGGAAGGGGTTCCGAGCCTCCACAGCCCCATCTGTGCCATCAGTGGGCCAGGCCGCTGTCCTGTGGTGCGCGTGCACATGCGGGCAGAAGCAGGGCCGCCCTGCAGGCCTCTGGCACGCAGGCTGGCCAGGGACCGGCGGCCTTTGACCTTTCACTGTTGCCTTTGACGAGGCTCAACGCTGCCTTGTAGTAACGTGCTTAGTCCTCACACCAGGCCAGCAAGAGCGCTGTGGTCGTCCCCACCCCCCAGGCCAGGAATTGGAGGTATGAGGGCATTAAGTTCCCTGGTGAAGGTCACCCCCCTGGTAAGGCTGCGGCTAGGCTTCAGACCCAGCCTGGCTTCTGAACTTGAGGTCTGATCCCTTCTCAGCAGCCACCTGTAGGTCCTAGTAGATGACATGCTGGAGCCCCACGAGTGACTGTCTTGTGTTGAACGTGCCCTGGGTTCTCTTCCAGCCCTGCACCTGCCGGCAGGTGGCCTCGGCCAGCCTTTGCCCGGTGGTCCTCAAGTGCTCATGCTGGTGCACTCACGCAGGGGCGGGCCTGTCACAGCAGAGGGGCGCAGTTAGTAGCAACTCAAGGCCCAGGCCCTTGGCGCCGGGAAGTCAGGAAGGTGGGTGCGGCCTGAGGTCAGCCCAGCCGGGCGGGTAGGGAAGCAGCGTGGCCTCCCTGTCAGGGCTGCGGGAGGTAGTCTGGGGCCTGATTTCTCCGAGTAGATGTGGGCTCCTCTTTTAGAACTTTAGTCAGAAACTGAAGGAATCCTAGAGGCTCCGGAGCCCCGCCCATCAGAACCAGAGCCAGTCCAAGGAGCCTCCGCTTAGCTTCTCCCAGCAGCCCGCTGAGTCTGGAAATGCACATGTGTCTCCAGGGTCTGGTCACCCATGGGAGACGCTGGGTTCTGGGCAGAGCACATCTAAAGGAAGGATGCAGGAGACAAGCTGCCCAAGGGCCAGGGGAGTGGCCGGCCTGTGGCCTCACTGTCAGGGTCCCTCGGGGCTGCGGCGAGGGAGTGAGTGTGGCTTAGTGGTCCGGACAGGCCCAGCAAGCCTGCCTTGTGGAGCCGAGTCCTGGGAGGCTCCGTGATCAGGAACAGCAAGGGCAGAGGCCCTGAAGGCGCACAGCCTGGGGCCAAGTCAGAACTGAAGAGGCCCAGGAGACTGTAAAGATGGAGCCTGGTCTGGGTCAGGAGAACGGGGATTGTGTCAGCCCCGTCCCTGAGCCGTGGGGTGGCCGTGTGGTCGTCACTCGCCCTGAGCCTTGGTCTCTGAGGCTGTCAAATACGTCAGTGCCACGGTTCGGGAAGACCGGTGGGCTCAGCAGCACTGGCTGCAGGTCGGGGTGGTGTGGTCTGGGGTCTTTGCTTGACTCTTACAACGATGCCCAGCTGGGCTACTGGGCAGAGGCCCGAGGCTTGACTCGCCCCCTCGCCTTGTGCAGGAGCCGGACACTGACCTGGAGGTGGTGCTGGAAAGGAAGGGCAACATGGACGAGGCACACATAGACCAGGTACGGCCCGGCCCCTGCCCATGCCACTTACCCCCAGACGCGCCAGGCCAGCTTCCCCGGCCCCCCACTCCACAGGGGGACCCCTGGGCTGCCATGGCTTATTGTCTAGTTCAGAATCCAGGGCCGAGGCTCCTCCCCCATCACCAGGATGAGGCACTCAGGCACTGCTCCCGATCTCAGTTTGGAGCTTTAGGGAAGTTGTTCCATGTGGACCAGCCTCGGCTCCTGCATGTCCGGATCCCCCAGCAGACACGTCCTGGCGGCACTGGACTTTCTGGTATTAGGCTGTTTGTGACCCCAGCCCGAGCGGTGCCTGCTCAGACCTGGGCAGCCGCTCTCCGCCCTGGTCCTCACAGAGGCGGCCTTGGAACCCGGTGTGGGAGCCCGCGGCAGGGCCGCCTCACCTTGCTGAGTAAGCGGCAGCCTCTGCTGTGCTTTGTCAGCAAGTAACGGCTGGAGGCCGCGTGAGTGGCAGAGCGCAGCCGAGGGCGCCTGCCTCGTGGCCCTCCGCAGCCGGCAAGGGAGAGGGGACGGGAGGCTCAGTAGGAGTCATCACGCTTGGCCCTTTGTTGTCACCTTCCGGAGTTTTCCTCCGTCACGGCCAGTTTAAAGCACTCTGCGGGGGGCTGTGCGACTTCCTGGCTGCCCTGGCACATCTGGGTGGGCGCCTCTGCCTGGAGACACAGCACTCGTCTTGTGTAGATCTGAACTCATCGGTGGCCCCCATTTTGCAGCCGTAGCACACAAGGAAGGAGGAGGAAATGCCCCGAGTGGGGGTGCTGAAGTTACACCTTTGGGGAGGGGAGAAGGCCCTGGAGGCCTTCGTGTCCAAGGGGGTCCCTGGTGTGCTGACAGGGCCTGGGCTGTCCAGCAGCAGCTCAGATCTGCCTTCCAGTGCCAGGTGCCCTGATGGGCTCCATTTCTGTTGCCCCCACTTGTCCCCCAGTGTCCCTGTCTGCAGACAGACTAAGGGAGCTGCCCGAGGCTGCACAGCTGGCTAGTGGCAGGGCCGGCAGGCACAGGGCCGGGGTTCTGGCAGTCAGTGCTGACCTCTTGGGAGTGACCATCTGTGCGAGAAGTCGGCTTCCAGCAGCATGCAGGGAGCGTCTCCACCCAGCATGGCCCTTGTAATGGAGAAAACGCTACTGTTGAAGGTGGATGGACTTTGGTTTCTGGATTCTGGATTCTTCCAGAATCCTGGCAACAGCAGGATGAACGACACTGGCCGCCGCGGCCCCCGGGTGCTGGGGGCGGCCCTGGCCGGAGCTCTGGCTTGCAGAGGGCAGAGCTGTACTCCCTCCTGTGTCCCTCCGGCTCCCTCTCTTCTGGGTTTCAAGTTCAAAATCAAACACTGTGTTACTGTCTTCTTTTCCTTCCCTGCTGCTCAGGTGAGGCGGAAGGCCCTGCAGGAGGAGATTGACCGGGAGTCAGGCAAAACGGAAAGTTGTGAATCCAAGAAGTGGATGGTGAGTTTGCACGCACATTCTGCGCCACAGTGCACTTGGGTCTGACCTGTCTGTCCTTGCAGCCAGAGGCGCAGCGGGGTCGGATGGGGAGTCGAGTGACTCTTCCCAGCGGCAGTCCCAGCCTGCTCTCCTCTACCATGCTTGTTCTGAGCAGATTTCCTTCCTTCTGAAAGGGGCTCTTGCCTCCCGAGAGCACTGGTGAAGTGATAAGCACTGAATCTGTATCTGCAGCTCTGAATTGGGGGGGACCCTCTTCCTCTGGCACCTGTCGCGAAGGGCACATGACGACAAGCTCTTTCTGGCATGGAAGTGTTCTCAAAGGCTGCTGCAACAGGGCTAGGAGACTGAGGTGAGGGGGCCACGGCTGGCAGAATGGGGAATTCCTGGCCCAGGCTCTAGACAGCAGGACACACAGTCAGGACCTGGCGAGGACAGAGCTGGTGGCGCTGTATCGCCCCGGCCCCCAGGGGCACTGGCCCTGGATACTGACACGCCTGGAGCTGCTGGAGGGCGTGTGTGCAGGCGCAGTCCCAGCTCGGCCTGCAGGCCGGAGTCCTGGGGTGGTGGCCGCGGGCAGGGATGGAGGGGAATAGCTCCAACAGGATTTCTTAGCAGACTGGACTTGGGGGAGAAGGGAAGGAGGATCCGTGTCTTCACGGTAGAACAGACAAGAACAGCTGATTTGGAGCTAAAGACCTGAGGTCCAGTCCCTGGCTCTGCCACATTCTGGTTCTGAGACCAGGCATGTCACTGACCCTGTTTCCTACCAGTGAAGTGGGATTCACGTGACGGCGTGGTATGGAGCGGCCTTTGTTATATCTTCCTCTGATGCCGCCTTTTCCTCACCACTCTGGGGCTGGCAGAGTGGCTGGGGCACCCTGAATGAGTGGGTACAACAAAGAGGAAGCGGGGCAGAGTGATTCAGCGGCTGTGGCCCATTATGGCCTAGAGGGCCTCTGGTCCTGGGGCACTAGAGCTGGGAGCTACTGGGGAGGCTTCAGGTGCCGTGCCTCCCAGGATGCGGGGCCACCTGACCGCCGAGCCACGGGGCCGGATTCTGAGCTGACAGGTCCCTCTAAGGGGACCCTCTCGGGGTGGGGAGTGGTCCATGGGAGCACTGCACACGTAGGCCTGGTCAGTGCAGTCCTCAGACCCAGTGCAGGCTGTCTGGGCAGCTGCATTCTAGAACTTCAGGCTGTCGTTATGCTGCATTTGGGCCATTGTGAAGCTGGGGCAGCTTGTCGCCAGTTTGTTCAAGGCAGCTGTTAGCAAAGACTGGTTCTTGAGCTCTCCGAGCCGCCCTAGAAGCCAGTGCTGGGCTGGCACTGGCGACAGGCAGGAGAGGTCGGCAGTGCACCTCAGGGCAGAGGCTGACCGGGCACCAGGATGTCAGGTGTGTCAAGCTTTGTGCTCTGGGTTGTTGGTGCAGAACCTGATTGAAGCCACATTGAGGCCTTGTGAGGGGTGTTAGCATTCCATTTCATGGACGGAGTTCCCACGTCAGTCATGGTCTTGGGGAGCTGGGTTTCTAGCCTCCCTCACAGTCGTGGGAAGGAAAGGGGGCTTTTGTTTTGGCCACTGCTGAGGGGCTCTCACATCCTCTCGCGACGGGCTGTCGAGTGCTCTGGACTGGAGTGGGGGCTGCAGTTGCTGGCAGGCGCATCCTCCCTCCTGGCTGGGGGCCCTTCCCGTCGGGCCTCCACTCTGCTATAAGATGCTGCTCGGAAGAGAAATGCATGTCACCTCCCCGCCTGGCTTGCTCCGCTCCGGCTGACAGAAACCTTGGCTGGTGGGTGGGCTGCCAGCTGGTGAGGTGCGCCTGAGGTGAGGTGCCATGTCTTGAGATTGAGGTGAGGTGAGCTGTGTACGCTGTCTGCCATGAGCCAGGGCGGGGGAGTCAGGCAGAGAGGCAGCTCCACTGAAGGAAGGTGGCTCCTGTGTCCGCCGTGAGGAAGCCGTCGCTTACCCACCAGGCAGGCCCCCCTAGTCTGCCCCCTCGGAGTCACCTGGGTGGTGACACATTCTTCAGGGGGCTTTCGCTAGGATTGGAGGGGTGATCTCTGGGCCTGGTCCCCGGCAAGCACTGGATCAGCAGGCCCCTCCCTAGTGAGGCTGCGGTCAGGAGAGGAGAGGGGTGCTGGCATGCAGAAAAATAACCCCCTTTTTTGCTTTCTTACCATAGGGGACCCAGTTTGGCCAGTGGGATACTGCTGGTTTCGAAAATGAGGAAAAGAAAATGAAATTTCTCAAACTCATGGGTGGCTTTAAAAATGTGTCCCCGTCACTCGGCCGCTCCAGCGTGAAGGGAAGGCCCAACATGGCCCTCAACAAGAAGGCGGCCGACACCCTGCAGCAGAGCCTGCAGCGGGACTACGACCGCGCCATGAGCTGGCAGTACGGCCGGGGGGCCGGCCTCGGCTTCTCCGCCACCCCCGACAAAATCTTTTATATTGACAGGAACGCTTCCAAGTCGATAAAGTTTGAAGATTAAACTCCAATGTTTTGTCCTCCAAAACGACCAGAACTGCATTTATTCTTTAGTTTCATGGTGACAGCCACCCAGTTGTCGGGAGCCCCGCTCCGGGGGTACGAGGACAGCTGCGCTGACCCGCTTGGACAGACGGGGCGGGGGTGGCGTCGGAGCCGAAGGGGCAGGCGCGGCTGACCACGCCACCTCCCGCTTCCGTCCCATGTGGAGACATTGGTGCGTGTAAACGCTACTTCATGTTTATGGGTGCTTGGCCCGTGCCGGGAACACGCCAACGTGTTTCCCTCACAGTAATGTAGTTCTCTCGTCTTTGTTACTACGAAACAGGTGCTACATTATCCCCATCTTACAGATGAGGAAGCCTGGGTTCAGGGATGAAGTAATAAAATTGCCCGGGTCGGCAGCCAGTATGTGCCAAGTGTGCTTTTCTACCCCGAGCCCTTCGTCACGGTGCCGCTTGAACGTGCCTCCAGGGGATTCACCGGCTCCTTGCCGAGGATGAAGCCGTCTTCTGGCCGAAGAAACAGGCGTTCTCTCTGAAGGAGGAAGTGGAATGGATCACAGGCGGGAACAGCAGCTCGTTTTCCTCTCCCTTCACGGGGTCGCGACAGGCAAAGCGGCATCTGGGTTGCGCCCCAGCTGCCTCCATGGCTCCTCTGAGCTGGGCTTGCGCCATCTCCCCTCTCACTGCATCTGAGTCCAGAGAACAAGTAGTTTGTCCGCTGAGCCAGTGGCTAATTCCAGGGGCGAGTGTCGCCTGTTTTCCACTGCAAGGAAGAGAAGCCCAGTGACAGCTATGGCTGAGGAGCCGGGCGCGTGGGGCAGCGCGTCCAGCCCGCCTCACAGCTCCGGTACCGCGTCACCACCCCTCCACTCACCTAGCATTAGGTCCCGAAATACAGGTTCTGTTTGGGGTTTTCACACGACGTGGCCCCCGCTAGCCCAGCACAAGGCTAAAGGGCAGGGAGTCCTGACATTGGAAAGTGAGTCGGCATCTCACCAGCGTTCTCTTCCTCTGTTCCATCATCCACATTGGCTCCATCTGGCTGGTGGAAGGATGGCCACAGCAATTCAGGCCACATACCAAGATCATTCCAGAAGTCAAAAAATAACTATTGTGGCTCAAGGAAACTTCCAGAAGCCCCTCAAGAGACCTTTTTCATAACTTACGGCCTAGCAACAAGTCACATAGGACTTGCCTTCTGAGCTCAGTAGCTCACCAGTGGCTTGAAAGTTACATCTGCTTAGGGGAAGGCTTATTCTGAGTCTGGTGCTGAAACAGTCTCACCAGGGGCCGGGCAGCCATGAAGCAAGATGCCCAGTCTCCTCAGGAAGGCCTGGGCCTTGCCACGGAGCAGGGCTTCACTTGCAGCAGTCTCGTGGTGGGGCTTTAGTCTGCATGGCTGCTAGCTGAGCTCCTGTTCTTTGTAAATGAACCACCTAAGCCCTCTGCCCCTCAGACCCTGTGTCTAGTGCTGCCCTCAGGGTGCCTGCGAGTCCTTTTGGTGCCATTTCCTGTGTTCGTCAGGCCTTGACCTCATGTATAATAGTTTGTCTCCACAGAGACATAACAATTTGGGATTTTTACTCAGAATCTGAGGGAGCCGGGGGGCCAGGGTGGCATAGAGCATGGCCAAGGTATCCCTTTAACATTTCAGTCCTGTTTCTCAAGGTTGTCTGTTCATCTTAGGATTTCTCACCAGTGACCCTACCATGACAAGATGCTTCCTTCATAGCTGCTTTATCCAGCTGCCCCCGAAACCTCATGATTCTTAACTACCTGTCCCTGGGAGTAATTCCTGCTTTCTCTGCCCTAGCCCTCAAGGCTCTGCCCTAAGGCCATCCTTACATAACTAGACTGGTCCCTCAAAGGTATTTGCCAGATAGACACAGGTCTTCCCCAAGAGCAGTTATGTATTCAACTCTACAACTTGTGACTGGAAGAAATAAGGCCAGCCTCTAGACCCCCCCAAAAGGAGCCACATCATAATTATCAGATTCTGTGATGGTTAGGATACAAGACAAAAGGGAGCTTAAGGTCACAGAAGGAATTCAAGTTGCTAGTCAGAATTATGAGAGGGACATGAGAGTGTTGAAGAGACTCAAGCTTGACAACCAGTTTCTGGCTTTAAAAGAAACAGCCACAAGCCAGGGAATGCATTAAGTCTTTCAGAAGCTGGAAAGGGCATGAAAACTATTCTCTAGAATGTTCAAAAGGACAGTGCCTCACCAATGTGATTTTAACCCAGTGAGACCAGCTGGAAGTCTTGACCAGAATGATAAAAGTCTTGACCCAAGCCACTAAATTTGTATTAATTTGTTAAAGCACCAAAAAGAAGAAAATGCAGATATCATAGACGTTCCCTCCTTTTTAACTTCTTTCCTAAAATTCTTGCTTGGATAATGATAGTGCTCCTCATCCCATGGAGGCTGTGGTCGTCAGACACTAGCAATTTGACTTAGTAACAAGCTGGAGAAAACTACAAAACCCACAGAAGCTAAAGCTGGCTTCCACCCAGGGACAGATGATGAGATCCCTCTGATGTGACATCTCATCCTGTGTGACAGTCCAAGTTCAGATTAACATAAGAGCATTCAGAATTTACTTGGCTTGGGAGCCAGTGGACACCAGAAGTGACTGAAAGGACAGAATTTGTGAATCTGCCAGTTGTGTTTCATTGAAATAGTGTACAGTAAAAGTGATGTGGGAAGTATTTTAATACAAGTAATCTGATGAAATAAAGGCTACTGGGAAACACCTAGGCAATGCCAGCATGCTCCCCGAGTTTGTATGTTCTTAAAATACATTTTATAAGCTCATGATTTTACTGAATAGTTTGGGGCCAAGAATATGCTGTGGGTTTTCAGGCCAATTTAACAAGGACACATCCTACTCCCCAGCAATTCTGCTCAGAAACAGCCTCACAAACACAGCGGATTAGAGTGCTTTTGGTCCGCTTAATCAAACAAAAGTTTTTAGCCCCTTTTACTTTGGGGGGTTAATTACGACACCCCCCCAAGGTGTCCCAGGGCAGAGGTGTGATGCTGGCTGTGTCCAGGAGAGACTTGAGAGGACCGTCGCTCAGGGCCCTGGAATAGACCACCTGGATGAGCTTTCCCGAGCCAGCTGCGAGGCACCAGGCAGTGCTGCTGACTGGAAGTACAACGCCAGTGGAGTCAGACTCCACCGAACGGGGTAGAAAGTCGGCGGGAGAGCTGCTGTTTGCAAGCAGGACGCACAGCAGACCAGGTGACGCAGACTCGCTCTTCTGGACAAAGTCATTAAATGAACAGTCATGAGCATAGATGTTCCTGCGGGAGGTTTGTTCAGCCACAGAGGCCCGGAGGAGTCTCAGGTCGGACCTCACTTTCTCAGAAATCAACCTGTCCACAAAGTCCAAGTGCTGCTTTGGACGGCAGCATGAATAACCAAGCCACAGCCTTTCAGAAGTCCTTCGAGGTGGTTCCATTCGAGGTACATTCCATTCCTTTCAGTTCTTCAGCGAGGGGGAACAGGGCTCTTTAAAGGTTCCTTTTCCAAACTAAAAAAAAAGACCTTCCAGGAAAAAAAAACAGATGTTACCTGCATTCTTCAGCTGGTCTCTGGCTAAAGGTCCCTGTGATCATCCCGGGCTCCTGACTCCCCGGAGCTTGGCTGCCAGCGGGAGGGGATGCGCAGAGCAGGGCTTCCCCCCACACCTGGCCAGTCTGTACTCGTATAAAAGTCACAAAAGGCAGAGCAGGTCTGTAGGAACTTCACACCTGCCCTACGGACAGCTCCGCTCCGCGTCAGGCCCTCGTCTGCAGGGGTAGCCTGAGGGCCAGCTCAGTGAGATGACCCATGTCTGGCTGTTTGCTTTGCTTCTTGATGTAGTCCAGTGTTTTCACCTAGGAGGAAGAAGAAACACCCAGCTCCTTTCTGATTCTTAAATCACTTAATCTTAGAGCCCCAAACTGGCCATTGGATCTCGGAAGGTTAAACGGATAAGGGAGGGAAAGGAACCCTCAATGTCTTTAAAATAAAACTCGGATTACCACTTACCCTTTAAAAAATCAGATGTGGTTGTGATCAGTAATGACTTCTGTTTTTATACGTGTGGTTTTCATTCAGAGGGAAGTTTATTTTAGCGCTGAAAGTGACCGTGTGGAAATCTGGGACCCAGAGCCTTTCTGGAAGGGGCGACCACTTGAGGCTGGGCCCCTGCAGCTATTACAGCCAGCTGCACTCTGGCTGGTGGGCTTAGCCGCTCACCAGGACCCGAGCCTGATGGGCTTGTCGAGCCCCCCTTTTACTGCACCCCCGCCCCCCCGTGTCTCACCATGGCTCTGGTGTCCGCACAGCCATGCCTCTGCGCCAGGTGCCACAGGTTGACCGAGAGCTGGTTGAGCCTGTTGTTCCGCAGGTCCCCGTGGGCCAAGATGCTGTTAAAGAAGGAAAGGCCCAGCGAGCTCTGGCGTTTCAGGGCCTAAAGTCAAAAAGGAAGTGACGTTAGGTTAGCAGGGAATGGGCTACGTCATGCTGGCTGCTTGGCCTCTGAGCCCCAGCTCCGTGTCTGTAGGAGACCAAGGTCACAGCAATTGATGGGCTGAGAGACTGGGTAAGAGGGCACTTCTCGGGACCTGTCGCCTCCAGTCCATCTCACATGGAAGTCACTCAGGAAGCGGAAGCAGAAGCAAATGAGACTCCGTGAGATTCCCACACAAGGGAGTCAAGGCATGAACCCCAACCTGATGACCCCCATCTTTAATGTGAGTACTGATGAAAACCAAAGGGCTGTGTCCTTAAAGCCGTGTCCTTAAGATCTCAAAGCTGCCACTGCTACTCGCCTGTAAGAAAGGCCCTCAATGGCTCCCACGAGGACGCCTCCTGACGCCCACACCCCGCTCCCAAGAACCATTTTTCATTCACAGCAGATGTTTCCTTTCATTCACTAATATGATATGGGAGGTAGGTACCCAACCAAGAAAAGGAACCAAAATGTCAGGGGAGACCAAACCTGAACCCCAGCTTTGAAAATGGTGAAGACTAAAGAGGAAATAAGCCAAGCCCCAAAAATGCAACAACAGGTCCAGCGGGGAGGAACTGCGTGTCCAAAGGTACACAGGCACCTGGAAAAGCCAAGTTAACAGGTGGGCCTGTTTCGGGGAGCCCCTGCTGCTGAGAGGGGGCCTCAGGCTGTGCTGGGGGCTCCCAGCTGGCACCACAGAACCTCAGCGCTGCAGAAGCCTCATCCTCACAGGCTGCCAAGGGGCGGCTTCAGGTGGGTTGGGTGAGGGTGGCTGAGTGGAAGCCGCTCGTCCCTCCAGAGTGAGCTGCTTCGTCAACAGCCTGCACCAGGCAGCCGCTGAACCAACCGCTCAGCGTGACCACGCGCGCGTGGCCGCACCACGCCACCCCGGGCTGCGGGCTGGAGAGGAGGCAGCCTGGCGGGTTCCTCTCTGGTCAGAGGTCGCCATTCAGGCATCGGCTCACCTGGAGGGCAGGAGGGCCCGTTGCCAGATCTAGAGAACCAAGGCTAGAAGAAAATTTAATTTTAGTCCAACTAAGTTTTCCCCTTGAAGTGGGAGAGATATTTAAGAAGATGACAATATCTCACTGGCTGTTTTTCCTCCTGTTCAATATCTTCTCAGTGAGCTTTCTCCCCTAAGAAGCTTTATACCCCGAAAGCCCCCTGCACCCAGTGGCAATAAAGCAAAGACCAGAAAAGCACCAACACGTTATGGCACCAAATCAGGGCGTCCAGCTCCCCTCTACCTCCGCACCCCCAGGGGTTTTAAACAGAAAAGTGTCTTTTCATTCTTTTCCTCTGAGAACTGTCATTTCCAGGAAGTTCTAAAGGTCTGGCGAGGTTCCCGGCCTCCCTGCACCCAAACAAATGCCTTTATGGAGCTTGTGATTTAAACAGGGTTGGCTGCTACAGGGGCATTTAGAGGACGCTTTTGGGAGCAGGGGTGCTGCCAGCGCAAATGAGCCCCCAGGGCTAGCTGTGGGGTCTCCACAAAGCAGGAAGCTCTCTCCTCACAGGCTGGAGAGAAATCTGACTGCCTCCAGCACTGACCCCGGGGGCGCCCTCTCCAGGGCCCCTGCTGATGTCACCTGGCAATGTCAAAGGAGGATGGGAGCTCCCCTCCAGCTGCACCCCACCCCCCGCGGCTTCCTAACAAATGTGCATGGGTGGACAGACATTTTCAGTGAACATCCCTGGCACTTATGCAGGTGGAAATGTTCTGGGGGACACCCCAGCTTTGCTTTTCTTGCGGAATCCTATCACCATCGACACCCCGTGCCCCGAGAGTGAGAGAGAGATGAACGGTGAACATATGCAGTCCCATGGAATACAGTTCTTAGCTTTGTTTTCACGGTGACCCTGGGGGTTCTAGGCCTGGTTGTTTATGCTGAGGAAGCCTAGCCTGTTGCACGAGAAAACTGTTTTCAAACCACGCAGCACACCATTTTTGGGCACACCTGTGAACCCCCAGCCCTGCTCTGAGACGCCCTTGGGCTAGAAATCTGGAACAGAGATGATGGTTTTAAGAATCGGGGAAAGAAGTTAAGAATTTCTGTGGTAGGGGGAGCAGATGGGGCATGAATTTGTGTAAAAGTGCAAGCTGCAGGAACA